GAGGGATATGACATCGAAGCTCACGAGTAGGTCGCTGGGCTGTAAGTTTTGTTTCTTTATGATCTCTATGAACTGGAATGAGTTTTTTACGTGTGAGGTGATGGATTCTGCATAGGGTTGTAGTTGTTTGGCGAGAAATTTGGCTAGGTTTTGTAGAGGTGAGCCTATGGAGCTGACTATGGGTCTAAGTGGGGTTCCTCCACCCAATCAGAACACAGCCAAGCTCCCACCCAATCAGCTCAAACCCCACTGGCAGTTAAAAGGAAGAAACAGCTGCGATCGCACACTACTCCCAGAAGCATGAAGCTGAAGACACCAGCCTGAAGATGTACGCGGGAGAAAACCCGAATATCCAAAGACCTACATATATATATAGAATTTTATGTGTGTGTGTGTGTGTGTGTATATATATATACACACACACACACACATACACACACACACACATATAGAAACTCCCAGAATTCCTCAGCCAGCATGCCTGGCTGAGGAATTCTGGGAATTGAAGTCCACAAGTCATAAAAAGGCCAAGTTTGAAGACCCCTGATCTAAAACATTACACAGAAGTAAACCAAATTAAGGATACGTTCCCTTGTAATTGGGAATGCAGGAAATAGGATTATAGCTTCAGGACACATTGAAATAATTGAAACACATATACTTTTTCTCTGAAAAGCGAACCAATTTAAGTTTGGATGATTGGGCAAACTTAAGTGTTTTCAAATTTTAATTCATTATTTGTAAAGGGTTGAATTGCAGAACATTAAAGTATTCGTGGCCATGATAGTTTAACCTGTACATTGTAGCACGTGTTTATTATGTTATTTTGATATTCCATTTTTTCCCCAAGAAGCTTAAGTTTCTTTTCCCCATTCCCTGTAATTTTATCTTACAATAATCCTTAAGGGAGAGTAAGCTGGGTAACTTCACACATCAGGTGAAGTTGAGAGAAAACATATTATGGCTTAATGTTCAGACCAGGGCCTGTCCCTTTGTAAAGGTATGGGAAAGAGGCAGAATATGTGCCGTTTCTAATCAGTACATGATTAAACAAAGGAGCGAGATTCTGTAGCACTTGCTCTTGTAACCCCAGTGTAGGCATTTAGAAAAGCATGCTTATATCCTGCTACTCAGCTGTTGCATGGTATAATTTGTATCCTGCTCTGTGCTTAATAGTTTTACAGAAAACTCTTGGCTTGATTGCAAAACATTCGGATGTGCTTAAAAGCCATGCTGAACGATTGTATGAATCTATTTTAGCAGCAATATATACTCTTGATGACGGCTTGAGGAAGCATTGCGATATTCAAGAAACTGCGGTCCACAAAGATACATCTGAGTAAGCAAGAAGGGAAGGATGCTGGGAAGGGTAGATATTAAATAATACATTTTTTTTGTTGAAGTATATCTTCCTGGATCTCATGCTAAGGCCATGTAGAATTTTCTACATTGTGAACTAGCGAAACATCAATTCTGTCCTCGACTCCTTAAAACCGAATGAATCAAAAAAGATTTAGGGTTGCCTTCCTGAATCTTGTTCCCCCAGAAATGGCGAAACAAAACAAAAGCTAAGAAGCGAACAAAAAGACTAGAACACATCCTCTCCAGCAGCCAACACTCGGATAGGCAGGGATTAACACTAGACAAACAAAAAATTGTACTCTAATCAAGGATATACTAAGGAGAAAAACCACACCCACACCGACAGTGACTAAGACAGGGCAAACTACTGTATATAAACAGGGAGCAAACCCCACACTCACTAGCACTTATGATGTTATCTTGTCAGGAAATGAAATGTCTGCAAACAAGCTCAGAGAGCACCAAGGGTTCCACAGTGAAACAACTCTCCAAATTGCACTGCTTGTGTGGCTTTGGCCACAGTGGTTAAGAATGCCAGTTGTCTGGTGAGAATAAACTAGGCAACTACATCTGTTTTGGGCAAGTTTAGCATTAAAAAGAATATTCAACATTTCACAAAAGAGAATAAAGTGATTTAAGAATAATGAATGAAGGCACCACTGGCTTTCTCTATATTCTTTTTTTTAAAATTATTATTTTATCTTGTTGGGGGCAATAGGCCGACTCTATAAACTGCTTAGAGAGGGCTGTAAATAGGCTGTAAAGCACTGTGAAGCAGAGTATTAAGTGCTATTGCTGTTATTAAGTTAGTAATATGGTGGTTAAGTGAATCTGGCTTCCTCATTGACTTTGTCGTCAGAAGTTTGCAAAAGGTGATCACATGACCCCTGTACACTGCAGTTTAATAAATACATGCCAGTTTGTTTGTTTGTATCCCGCCTTTTATTATTTTTAGACATAACTCAAGGCAGCAGACTAACCAACACATCCTCATCCTCCTATTTTCTCAACAACAATCCTGTGAGATGAGTTGGACTGAGGGAGAATGACTGGCCCAAGGTCACCCAGCTGGCTTTCATGGCTAAGGCCTTAACTACTAGACTAAACTGGCTCTCCCAGTTGCCAGGTGTCCAAATTTTGATCATGTGACTAAGGGGATGTTGCAACTGTTGTGCGAGAAATGGTCATCTCACTTTTTTCAGTGCCACTGTAACTTCAAACGGTCACTAAACAAATGGTTGTAAACCCAGGACTACCCTGCAGTGCATTCAGACCCCTTCACTTTTGTCAATTTTGTTATGCTGCAGCCTGATTCTAGTTGTTGAAACTCATTTTTTTTCTCCTTAATTTACACTCAGTACCCCATAATGACAAAATGAAAACAGAATTTTAGAAATGTTATTAAAAAGAAGTATTCAGATCCTTTGCAACAACACGTGAAATTTAGCTCAGATGCCTCCATTTTTCTTGATCATTGCTGACATGTTTCTACACTTTGATTGGGGTCGACCTGTGGTAAATTGATTGGACATGATTTGGAAAGGCACACACCTCTCTATAGAAGGTCTCATAGCTGACAATGCATACTGTAGCAGAGGAAAAGCCATGAGGTCAAAGAATCTCCCTGCAATGCTCAGAGACAGGATTATTTCAAGGCACAGATCTGGGGAAGGCTACAGTAAAATTTCTGGTGCACTGAAGGTTCCTAAGAACACAGTGGCCTCCATAATTCTCAAACGGAAGAAGTTTGGCACAACCAGGACTTTTCCAACAGCTAGTCGCCCGGTGAAACTGAGCAATTGGGAGAAAGGCCTTAGTAAGAGAGGTGACCAAGAACCTGATGGTCACTCTGAGCTCCAGAGATCCTATGTGGAGATGGGCAGAGTTCCAGAAGAACAACAATCACTGCAGCTCACCACTGATCTGGGCTTTATGGCAGAGTGGCTAGACGGAAGCCTCTCCTTAGTGCAAAACACATGAAAGCCCGCTTGGAGTAACTGTTTGGCCTCACTTCTAAATGTTGTCTGGAGGCACCGCTCATCACCTGCCCAATACCATCCCAACAGTGAAAGCGTGGTGGCAGCATTATGCTGTGGGAATGTTTTTCAGCAGCAGGGAATGGGAGACTGGTCAGGGTTGAGGGAAAGCTGAATGGAGCAAAGTACAAGTATATCGTCAATGAAAACCTGTTCCACAGTGCTCAGGACCCCAGACTGGGCCGAAGGTTTACTTTCCATGACAACGATCCTAAGCACACAGCTAAGACAACACAGGAATGGCTTAGGGACAACTCTGTGAATGTCCTAGAATGGCCCAGCCAGAATGCTGACTTGAACCCTATTGAACATCTCTGGAGGGACCTGAAAATGGCTCTCCATTTTGGATGGTCGCCATCCAATCTGAGCTTGAGAGGATTTGCAAGGAAGAATGGCAGAAAATCCCCTAATCCAGGTGTGTAAAGCTTGTGTGTGTGTCATACCCCAAAAGACTCGAGACTCTTAATTGTTGCCACAGGTGCTTCAACAAAGTACTGAGTGAAAGAGCTGAATAATTATGCCAATGTATTATTTCAGTTTTTTCTTTTTAATAAATTTACATTCATTTTAAAACTTGTTTTCCCTTTGTCATTATGGGGTACTGAGTGTAGATTAATGAGAAAAAAGTGTAATTCAACAACTGTAGAATCAGGCTGCAGCATAACAAAATTGACAAAAGTGAAGGGGGTCTGAATACTTTCTGAATGCACCGTAAATTACCTTAAAATGCTGATGCAGCATTTTAAAAAACGTAGTGTGTGCTTTTATTTATGTAGGGTATAAGTCTAATTTGAATAATTCCTCATTTCAGATAATGTATCAGTTATGTGATACTCGGTAATTTCTATTTAAAATGTGAGAATAGAAATAGAACAGCTGTTTATGATTTTATTTCAGATAAAACTTCTGTTGATGTGGACGAATGAAATAACTACATCCATAAATAATATGATGAGGCTCCCTATTCAAGAACTTTTCCTTCAAAATTTTGATGTGCTACAATGACATCAAACTTGGTTTCCAAGTTCAGAAGGTACAACAATGGGCTTTGTATCTGGCAACAAAGTGTTGAAGAACAGTGTGGAAGGGAAACTTCTGATGTTGGAGGTTTAATAATGCATTTCTAATTTGAATATTTATTTGCCAGGGCTCTGCATTCTTCAGAAATTATTCAGAAGTGTTTATGTGAGACACAAATTCCATTGAGCCTCAAAAAAAAGCTGCAGTTGGTTTGAAAGTCAGCTCACGAATGGACTTCTTAAAGTGGCAGCACTTCATTTTCAGATTTATGTTGCTGCCTGAAACAAAATAGAGGCTGCTATATAAAACAGCCGAAATACTTTTTTATGGGAGATCCAAAGTGCTTCAAAATAATAATCAAAAAATGTATAGCCCTATTATTTGTTTTGTATTTTTTTCAATTAATAATTGTAAGTCTTCAGTTTATCTCATGTGACAAATTATATGGAAGCTACATTTCAAATAAAGCAACTTTATTATTTTAAAACATGCACTGGAGGTAAATGATTTCAGTAACAGTTAAATAATAGTCCATTAAAGCTGCAATTACATGACTTCTATGGTATTTGTGCAACATTCATGCTAAAGAAGTTATAATTTTTTTTTGAAAGCTTCAGGCACTGTTCACCTTTACTTACCAATCACTAGATTGTAATAGAACTTTTCTGTGTCATTGATAGATACCTTAGTTATAAATTCTTGGATGAAGGGTGGTTCTGTTTTTATAATAAAATACACGAGACTCAGTTTGTAACAGAAAACTTGTTTAATAGTGTAGCATGAATAGACTTCCATATACCTTCTTTTGCTGCCTCCATAAGCTTTGTAGTTAGGGATACTAGCTCCTGACTGCCCTTAATCCTGAATCCATATTAGAGCTTAAAAAAGAATTCTGTGCATTCAGAGATAAACTCTTCCTGTTCTTTATGATTGGCTAATAATAAGAGTGCTCACCATGTTAATAATCAAATTCCAACTTTTGAAACTGCAATTTCCAAGCTGTATGAAGAGCAATTGATAAGACTAAAGATAATGTCTCCTTTCTAAGCTGTTCAACTTTCCTTCCCACTGGAAACAAGAAGAAATGAAGTTTCTTTTAAGGGGTAGGTGAAAAATTATTTATTAAATTTGCTTGCCACCCATCTCACGACAAAGTGACTACATAGTATCAGATTTCTTAGCCTTGTTCATACAGGTAAACCTGACCGAAGGTTTACTAAATTAATGCAGTAGCCTGAGTTTGCATGCATACTGATTCACATTTTAGCCTGGCGTGATGTGCAAATAGCCTATTAGATACCTTTGTATGTTCTTAAGTGCTTCTTAGATACATAGGGTTATGAAAACACACCTCACATGCGAATAAGTCTGACTTTAGACATTTTAAAAATATACTGGTATATCTGTTTTTGGATTTATATTTGTTTCCTTCTTCTGAATAACAGCGTTTAGCTGTAATAGTTGGAAAGAGGCTCTAGAAGACCAAAACAATGGAATCTGGGTGTGCCCTCAAGTATTGAAGTCTTAGTTTGCTCACATTAGGGCCAAGAGGTCATGAAAACTTTTCACAAAACACGAAAACGTAGAAGTCAAATATTTTCAGACATTTACAAATCAGATGTACTCTTTCCCAAATCTGTTGCCTTTTGTAGGCTTCCCAGATTTAAAAAACATACAACTAGAACTGACGCATAAATTGAAAAAAAAGTATAGTCACTTTGTTCAGAATATGTTAACAAACTACTGTTTTAAAAAAAACATGGATATAGTCTAGCAAACAAATGTATTGAAATAGTATACTAAGTCGGTAGAATATTCTAAGGTCAGAACAATACACTTTATTTTAAAAAAAAGTGTGCTCAGTTAATAGCATTTAGAGTTTATTATTTTCAAGAGCTTCAGCACTTTCAACATGACCCCAAATCATCATTTAAATATTGTAATCGATTTTCTTCTATGTAACATTTCTTTATGAATTTACAATACTAAAAGCACATTATGAATCAACTGATTAAACATTTCTCATTCTGAAGTACACTTTATTGTTGAAGTTAAAGAGCAAATTCAAAAGTTCAATAATTTCAATCTTCTAACAGTACTATGAAGAATTAAGGTATTGTGTGTTCCAGTTGCAGATCACTA